CCCAAAAGTTCAAAAGGTGCAGATGTCACCCTGCCTAGTTTTGGAGAAGGAATTTGGACTCTGGTTTTGAGTTACTTTTGATTATGAGTCTTAGAGTTTCTGTATTTTTATTTTAACAAATAAAAAGTGCGAGGAAGAGAAATGCACCATGAGTGAAAATATACTAAAAGAAAGATCATTCAAAATTGTTAGCTCTGGGGGCGCCCACGAAATGAGTACACGATTCTGCTGCACCTTGTAAAGCTGCTCTTCAGCGCGGTGTTTCTGTGGTGTAGGGTGTAATGGTCATCACGTTCGCCTAACACGCAAAAGGTCCCTGGTTTGAAACAGTGGTTGTCTGAGGCTTTTTGCATCTGCATTTCTCCTCTAAATGTCTAAGCCTTTGGCAGTTCACTCTTCATTCCCGCTGTCAACCCTGGGACTTTATGCAAAGAATTTCTAAGAATAACAAGAACTTGAAATCCACCTAATTATGTTTAAAAATTAGATCCTTCCCTCTTACCGTTGCACATTAGCAGTTTCTTATGCCATCTGGGTCCAAGACCTTTTATGATATGTGTATTACAAATGTCTTCTTTCAGTTTGTGTCTGGTGTTTTCTCTCTCAATGGAGTCTTTAGATGAAAGTGGTGTTCAATTTGTATGAGGCCCAGAGAGTCACTCTTTCCTTTACACTTGGTGCTTGTTATGTCCTGTCTACAAAATGTTTGCTTATCTCCAAGGCATGAAGCATTTTTCTGATTTTTCTTCAATAGGCTGTATCCTTTGCACTTTCGCTTTTGGTCTGTGGGCAAATGACTTAAACAGGCACTTCATGAAAGACAACCAAATGGCTAGTAAGAAATTGAGATGTGTGACATACCAAAATTTAGATAGATAGATAAATGGATGATGGATCGATGACAGATAGATGGTAGATGACTGATAGATAAGTGATAGATTGATAGATGGATGATAGATGAATGGATGGTAGGTAATAGATGGATAGATAAGAGACAGTTGGTGATCGACAGATAGATTAGCTAGGACATAGGTAAAGAAAAAGGGGAAGAAAGAAAACACCTGAGGCCAATCTCCAACACAAGGCAGAGGCATTCCAGGTGCTGGGACCTGAGCCCAACCCTTGACTCCAAATCGGGGCTTCCCGGGTGCAAGTACCTGAGCCCGAGCTGCGTCTGCACACCTGGGCTTCCCAGGCCCGGGGTCTTGAGCCTGACCCGGTGACCCGGGCGAGGCTTTCCTGGTTCTGCGGCTACTAGCAGCCAACAGTCGTTAGCTGGGCACCGAAAAGCTCGGCGTTAGTGGGTTCAACTTTTCGTTTGGTTTAGCAGAAAACAGTCCCGGTGTGGGTGGGTTCACTTGGGTGTGCGGTTGAGACAAGTCTGCGAGACAGACACACAGGGAACCCTCGCAGGGTGTGGGCCTCGCAGGCAGAGTGTCGTGACAGCCGGCTGTTCCCCTCGGACAACTCCAGGGAGTGGCACCCAACTCCGTGCCAGGTGCGCCCCCTGTCAGGAGGGAGCCCGAAGCTTCCCGGAGTCAGGACCACGGACAGCGCCCCTGGATGTGCGGGGCCGAGGAGCGATTTGTCCACGTGGGAAAGGAAAGGAGCAAATAGTTGAACGGTATGTTGAGTGGCGATGCGTGTGTTTTGTTCGCAGATTTTTTATTTTTATAAAAGCATGAAATATGGAATACATTATTTCTGCTTGATTGAATGCAGGCTCAAACATGGGGCCACGCCACCGGGAAATGCTTCACCGCAGCGACTCTGCGCCCGCGCTTCTCTGGGGCGGGGCCCTGGGGCTCCCGGCTGCCGGCGAGGCCACCGCTGCGTCCCCGGCCCGCTAAGGGGAGTCACGGGAGCCACGTTCCTGTGAGTTTTCTCAAATCGTCTGGGAGAAATTTAGCTCTTTTATACTTAATTAGGTCAGACTAGGTCTAAAATTCTGTGTACTTTGAGAAGACAAAGGGGTAAGAGGCAGGAACTTTTTTTAATATATAAAAGAGCTATCCATTACCTACATATTTTATAGCTTATTTATTATGTAACCCTCAAGATAATGCCCTGAAATCCTCTCCGTGACCAATGTTCGGTCTTCAGCCTCGTTTTCGCACCTCACATCTCCTTCCTCTCCAACCACACTGCCCTGTCTGCAGCCTCTCACTTACCATGGATTTGTGCATGTTACTGTCCTTCCTTAAATATCTTCTATACCAGTTAGCATCTTCTCAGTCTTTACTTTTTCAGAAATAACTTTCCCCAAACTTTCTAAATAAATTTTGCATTAATTTGCATGGTGACTTGATTCCTCTGTCTCTCTCACTAGAATATAATCTCCAAGGGGTGTAGTGCCCAGTTTTGTTCATCAATGAAACCCTAGTACACAGTGCCTAGTACACACCATAAATATTAATTGAACAAATATGTGAACTCATCATGGTCCTACACAGTTAATGTTACCTTGATTTTGAGATGAAAAGCTGAGTTTATAGTGAGCAGTTAGTTGTGTAAGTTGCAGAACCTGCAAAACCTGTGTCAATTGCTATATATGTAACAACTATTTTGAACTTAACATTTAAAAAAGAAAAAAAAGTTTTTGCAAGTCAGAGTCCAGTTGGCTCGGTTGGTTAGAACGTGGTTCTAATAATGCCAAGATTGCCAGTTGGATGTCCACACCGGCCACAGGTTTGCTTGATTTTAGAGAAACCCGATTCTTAACCCGTAGAAAGCAGAGAATAACATATAACGTGCAATGTCCTAAGAAGTTCCAAATCCATCGCTCTTGTTACCCTTTAATCCACCCATGACCCAACTCAATTCCCATAAATCCAACACTTCCCGGACAGGGTTTTCATTCCCACTCCCCCAGGAGCGGTGGCCGAGCACAGGGGCAAGGGGCTCAAAGGGGGGAGCTCTGCCTGGTGGAAAGAGGGGAAAAGTGGAAAGGATAGTTGGCAACGTTTTTAAAAATTCGTTTGATTTTAACTCGTCTTTCCAACATACCAACTACTCTTCTCTTTGAAATCAACAAGAGATACAACTTAAGGAGTTCTTGAAAGAATGCTCTTTCCCTGTCTCTGAGGCCTCTGTGTTAGCTGACAGCCCAAGCGCCCTGCGAGGAGGCACCCCAAGGGTGGGCTGCTTCAGGAGCCCCCTCTCCCTGCCTGTCCTTTCCAGGGAGACTCCGGTGTAAAAGGTGCTGGCCAGCACCTGACAGGTAACAGTTTACCACTTAATCCTAGAGAAGGAAAAGCAGGCGGGCTTTACACCTTTATAAAGGGGGCCTGGGTCAGGGCACTTGGGAGGAGGGATTATGTCACCAAAGAATTCAGGCAGGTTGGGTGACAGGTGGGCCCCATGGTGTAATGGTTAGCACTCTGGACTCTGAATCCAGTGATCCGAGTTCAAATCTCGGTGGGACCTCGTTTTTGTCTCTGGTCCTTGTTTGAGCCCAGTGTCTGCAGTCACCAGCCAAAGGACAACGTAAGGCTCGCTGTGTGCCACTTTTTCTTGTGGGGGCAGAAATCCCGAAAGAAAATGCTCGAGGAGAGCCCCCAGACTTGCTGGAACAGGAAATCTCTAGAGAAAGCCCATGAGCTGAGCAGACAGGAGGGAAGGGGGCAGGCGAGAAGAGCAACAGGAAGGTAGGTGACACTTGGGGACCGAGAAAAGTGGGGATTGACTCCAGAAGTGGAGAAAGGCGCCCACTGACAGACTGACAGGTGTCTCCGCAGCCTGTGGCCACCGGGCTGCCCTGGTCCCCACTGGGCGTAAGTAAACCAGGGTCTTTGCTGCAATTAAATAACATAGTTTTATTCAAGGGTCTTAAGCGAATTACAATTCTGGAAACGCTACCAGGCAATACCCAGAGTGTTTCAAAGAAAAAGAAATGCTGAGCGTTTTTATGGTGAAATGCACATGCTTGACAAGAATTCCAGCAGGGGACCATCGGGTGTCCGGTTCTGGACAACGGGACCTTGTTTCCTTAAGTTCTCCAGAGGGTTGTCTACAGGACTTATGGACATCTGGGCACTGACTCAACTGAAAAGCTCAGTTCAGGTCCTCGGTGGTTAAAAGGCTGCGAGAGCCCCCTCACGTCTGGGCCCTTTCCGAGGGACCCAGCGGGCAGCTGGGCTGTGGTGCCCCCGCGTTTTCTGCTCCAGTCCCCTCACCAACCAGGTGCCCAGGACCGGCCCTCGCTCCCCTGCAGGTCCTTACAGGGTGGCTGACTGAAAAGAGGGAAGGGGTATCTGAAAAAAGTCTCAAAGTGTATGTTGATTAATGTAAGTATCACTCTGCACAAAGTGGCTTTTGGAGTGTTCCTGATATTCTGTTTCTTGGATGCTGGTTACGTTGATGTGCTCAGTGTGAGGAAGGCCAGTGGGCGACACCCTGATTTCAGGGCAGCCTCTGGATGTGTACTGTTCTTCAGCACAAAGTTAAAATGAAACAAAAACAAAAAAACCAAGAACTGTGATCACTGAAAGATATCATTATTTGGATGAAATGCAAGTTTCTAAGTGGAAGGAAATATTGCAATTGAAAGGCCTCACAGCGAGGGGGAGACACATCCTATGACTCATCAAGAAACAGAAGACAAGTCAAACGAAAATGTGCAAAAGAAGATGAGTTTCCCAGGCGGAAAAAGATCTTTCGTTGGTCAAGGGCATTTCATTTGCTCCTGGTAACAACCCTGGGAAGGGACACAAGGACCAAAAACTTGGAAAGAAACATATGACAAGAGTCTGAAGGTGTTTCTCCATATTTACCCCATGATTCCAATTCTAAGCTTCAATCTTTTGGAAATACAGATGCAGGTAAAGATTTTCATACAGAGGTATTCATCTCAGCATTATTATGGAAAATATTTGGAATGTATAAATACAGTATGATCAGTTTAATGTAACAAATATTTATGAGCTGAATGCATTTACTATTGAGAACACAAAACAGGCATGAAGCTTGTGGTCCTTATGTGTCCTCCATTTGATAAAACACATGGAATTTTCAGAATTATACTTTCAAAGAGTATTTGTTGTCATGGAAATGAGTGCATTACTATAAGATTAAACAAAGAATAGTATATTAAAATATGTATATGTAATATATTCCATGTAAACTACAATTATTTATTTTAATGAGTTCTTTCTGGGTGCCTTCTATTGAAGGGACCATGCCCACCCGCCCCAGCCTAGCTTTTTCTTTTTTCATTTTTCACCATGTTGGCAACATAGGACATGACACACAAGGGGCATAGGTGGAGATGAGCTGATCAGAAACCAGCATGGCAAACAGGTTCTCTTAATATGGTCCCCATAACCACCCCCCATAGTCGTGACCTTGTTTGATCTCTCTTGAGGGTCTGGCACAAGCTGTGACTTTCTTCTAACAGAATATGACAAAGGTAACAGGAAGTGACTATGTGAACATGGTTATGTGACTAAGTTATATCATATACAGTATCACCCATTTATTTTGCTGGAGCAAACAGCATGGATATTTAGAGTCAGAGAGACCTAGTTAGAGTTCTAACCTTGGCAATTTGCTATATGAGGGAAAGACCAGACCTTGGAACCTTGCAGGTTTAAATCCTGAATCTCACCTTTACTAACTGGCTGGGCTTGGGCTTTGTGCCTCCGGATTGACATGAATTTCACAGTAATTTCTACATCACTGACTTATTTTGACAATTTTTTATTTTATCAACCAATTTAAGATGGCTTATTTTTCCAACTAGGCTTCTTCCAAGGTATCCATAGAACAAAACAGCAGGTAGATGTCTTCAGGGCATTGTTCTTGTCGCTTTCTCCTCAGGGTAGTAAGAACTGCTGCAGAACTGTCACCACTCATGCACAGGCCCCCATCATTGGTCACAGGGCAGAGGCCAGCCAAAGGATCTGCTCTCCTTTGCTTGCTTGCTTTCTTTGTTTGCAGGCCCACGAGGCTTCCTGCCCTGCCGACCCCTCACCCCCAGGTGTAAAAGTGGAGGAGTGGTTTGTACCAACTAAAAGAAAAATGAGGGGTGAGTTTTGGTTCCCTGAGTATTTCCTGCTCCTACTGGAGGCAACACAGCCTACGTTGTAGAGAGAAGCAAGGTCACCTGGCCCTGCCTGGCCCTACAGCTTCCTGACAAGTCATCCTTAAAGTAAAAAAACCAAAAACCAAAAAACAAACTTGAAAATTGGCATTTGTAGCCATAATGTGACTTATCCAATCAGTGAGGCTCCAGATTTACATATACAGGTAAGTCTGGTTCTAACAACAGAGCACCTCCACGCCTACAAGTCGTCTGTCCTCCAAATTCAACTGGAAGCCCACGTGACAATCCTATGAGACACAGCGAAGAGGAGGAGTCTCTGCACACTTAATGGAGAATGGTGAATGAAAGTGTGTCAGGTAAGCAAGGCCCACCTGCCTGCTCCCAGCCTGGAGGGACTCTGGCCAAGAACTTCTTCCCTTTTCTAGAATGAGGAGTGACCTCTGGGCCTGACAGGCTGAGTTTTCACCAGTCTCTTAGGAGCTAAACTGCAGAAAGGAGGGTGGGGCTGAAATGCCACCTTGCCTGGTAAAAGGTTAAAACGGTTTGGTGGAAGGAAGCGGCAGAACACCCTCAGGGATAACCATTGGTCCTTGAGGAAAAGCTGGTTCAAGGTCAAATTGCATCAAAATTCCTCTAAGAACCCAATGAGGAACAACACAGCAAGAATGAGGGCTCAGCATCCCCAGGGACCAGAGGAAGGGAACCACTTCTTAGAGCTGAATAAAAGCTAAGGCCTAGAATCCATTCCTCCTTCCAAAGATGCAAGAGGGTGGGGGCTGTGCCTGCTGCTTCCTGGCATGTCTGTCCCCAGGGGAGGGTAGGAGGCAGTATCCTGACTGAGCTCACACCCGATGCAGAGAGGAATGGGTAGGAGGGGAAGGCAAGGCTCTGTTCAAGTCCAGAGGTTCCACCCAGTGTTTTCCTGCTACCACCACTAGACATCTTGGTGCTTCACCTTCTAGAATACAGATGAGGAGTCACAGGTGAACATAAAGCTCTAGCCTTAAATCTGGGTTTTTTTGCTTTAGGAAATTAGATGCTGAGTCTCTTCCCAACAACACTGAGGTCCGAGTCAGGGTGAGGGTGAGGGACACAGGCTATTTCTTGTGGGCATGATGCCTCCGGGAATGCCCTTGCTCCCGATTCTTTGGGGTTTTTGGTTTTGCACCAATGGAAAATGAAGGGACTGATGATCTGAAAGACCCTCTCCCAATGGAGGCCTGGGCAGGCGGAGAGGGAATCCCAAAGCCAAAGCTACTGCCTGTGTTAAGTGGTCTAGGGACAGGGATGCTCTGAGCTAAGGGGGCCATGGGGGAAGGCCCAAACATAATCTTTCTTGCAGAAATGCTGGCCCTCCCCAAAGGCAAAGGGGTGCTCTGGGTGGTCAGGTCCTGGGTGTTCTGACTCCAGCCTTTTCCAAAGGGTGTGCTGATACGAGTGACCCCACTTGGCATGGCTCCAATGGAAAACACTCCAGAGCTGGAGCTCGTGTTTGGGACAGTCCTGCTGACCTCAGGCTCCCCGCAGTCCATAGGGGTCACTAATCCCCCGAAGGCAAAAGGTCGTGGGGCTGTGCTGCCAAACACTGAGCCACGAGTTCCACTCTGGTGGGTCTGGGTGACAACTCCAAAACCAGTGGGACTAGCTTGACCAAAAGGAAAACCTGCTGGGGTGCTGCCTACATTTGGCTGGAGGCTGGCAGGGATGTGGAAGGTGGAGGCTGAGGGTGCCAACACCCCAAATGCTGGCTGTGTGGGGATGCTAAAGGCTGGCTGAGCTGGAGCTGGGGTTGGGGTTGGGGATACCACTGCTGAGTTTCCTAAAACAGAAGAGCTATTGAAGCTTGGGCTAAGGGTTGGTTGGGTGGCCCCTTGCTTTTGTCCACCTGCAGCTCCAAATGCAGGTTGGGGAGTGGCTCCCAGGGATAGCAGAAAAGGTAACTTTGAGTTTGATGCCAAAGGAAGTGTGAATGCTGAGGTAGGACTGGAGATGCAGGATGATAATGCTGGCTGGCTTGTGGTTACGAGGGCTGAGGCCGGCAGAGGGCTGTCCTTGCCCTTAAAATTGACAGTGCTTTTACTAGGGGATACCTGGATAGCACTGGGAAGAACCTGGTTAAAGTCCTTTACCATAGGAATGGCAGAATGCTGGGGAGGTGGGAAAATGCAGCCCGTGACTGGGGAGACGCCGGCCCTGAAGGCAGGGGAAGCCTCAACGAGGAAAGTGTGAGAAGTGGAAGGCACAGGGACTGAGTAAGTGTTGCCTGTGGTACTGGTAACAACCACTACACCAAAATCCAGAGGTGGCTTGAAAGAGGGGTCTTTGGATGTGCTGACTGGGGTAGTGGAGGTGCCTACAGAGGTAGCTTTGACCAGGTCATGGAAGAGATGGGTAGAAGCAGGAGGAACTAGAGGAGAGGTCTGTTTGAAAGAGAAAGGAGCTATCACAGGCGTCGTTTGAAGCGGTCCTATGCTGCCAAAGATGGGTTTGAAGGTGGGCATTGAGAAGCCTGGAGGTGACCATGCTGCAGCTGTGACTGAGATCCCGGAAGGTAAGGAGACTCCAGGCTCACTGTTGGGTGGGGACCCCCAAATGGGTTTTGATGTGGGGTCAACAGAAGTTGCAGCAGGAGATGCAGATGCAGAAAGATGGTGGGCTGGTCTCACCACTCCAAACACAGTCCTTTGTGTAGAGGGCACTGCGGGGGTAATAGCAGGTGGGCCTGGGGGCCTGGCAGGCCTGTCAGCCTGACAGATCAAGGGTGGCCATGTAGTGTCAGTGACTGGTGATGTGGAAGAAACAGGGGTCAGAAGGGTGACAGCAGCTGTGGGCTTTGAGTCTGAAGAGGGGCCTGCAAGGGGCTCTGACAGCAGGCTGGGTGTCTTCAGAGGTGAGTGGGCCACACTGACTCCCTCTCGCATGGACTTTACGGAGGCCACCGGGCCCGGAGATGCCACCCGAGGATTTGTGCCCTGGGTTGGAGCTGTGCCTGTAGAAGGCAGGGTAAGAGACTGGGAAGGTGGGTTTGCAGACCGAGTGCCAGGGACAGGGTCGGTGTTGATCTCCAGTGTATCCTTTCTGCTTTTGTTGCTCCACTGAAGTCCAGCTTTTGTCCCCAAGGCCAGGTCCTCAGCAGGAACTGCATAACCAAGCTGGGGAGGTGGACTAGGGGACACCGGGGTCCCAGGGCTAGGGGGCAGCCGTGGAATCTCCTCACTTTGCTGCCCAATGCTGCCAGACGCTGCTGGGGACTCCTCTGATGCCAGTGGGACTGGACAGCGGCGCTGATGACCTTTTTTCTTTTTTACTGGCCACTCTGGCATCTGGAAGGGTGCACAGGAAACACTTCTCTTCCAAGGCTCAGAGAAATCTCTGGCGGAACTATAAGAGCTTGAAATAGCATTTCTTTTGGAGCAGAGCGGGCCGCCTGCGTGTGAACCGGCCGAGGAGCTCGCGGGGGAGGAACTGGGCCCCCTGTTCAAGCTGCGGTCCAAGCCCAGAGGCCCAAGACTGGGCACGAAGGAAGCGAGGCTTCCACCCTTCACCAGAGGCTTAAATGCCGACGACCCGGCAGCTAGACTCCTCTTACCGTCCGACCTTTCCAGGGCCCGGGACGGCGGCTCTCCCGGCCTCAGTCTCCCTTTCTTGTACTCTCCGAGGACCCTGAGCACTGTCTCCTTTGCAGGTGGGTCTGGGGGCTGCTCAGAGGGTGAGAACCCCGCTAGGCTGACGGCCGGCGCCGGGGAGGTGCCGGGGAGCCCTCTCTGCTCGGGGGGAGTGATCTTGATGGTCACCGGGCTCCACACGGCCCTGGGGTGCCGAAGAGACCAGATAGTCCGCTTCAGGTAGCTGCCCCACCAGTCGGCGGGCTGCGGCCCCACGATGGCGCTCCGGGGCTGCGCCATGGGGAAGCGCCGCCAGGCCTCGCTCACCGCCCACGAG